CAGACACACAAACGCCCAGCTGCCCCCAGGATCCAGCTGTACCGACTAGTGCCCTTTCACAGGAGGACCTCCTGAAAGACTCCATGTCCGCTGCGGTGGCAGGCCCTGACCTGAGGGAACCAGGGCACCCCTGGAAAGGCACCCTCTGCCCTCCTGAGACGTTGGGCACATTTACAACGAGAACATCTTTGGCCAGTCAGATCCACTAGAAAAATACCTCCATTCAGCCCCAGCATTGCCTCAGGCTTCAGTGCCTCGATGCCCTCCTGCAAGCTTTTCCCCACACAGCCCTGGGGGTCCTGTTTGGGGGCGGCAGCGCGACTCAGCAGAGGGGTTATAGGAAGGTGTTTGCAAGTACTGTGCCTGGACCAGCAGGGGGCGAGAGGCCCACACAAGTGGTTCAAGGACTCCCTGCCCCCTCAACACTGCCCTTGCCCCTGCCGGAGGGTCCCCAGCTCCGTGCCTTCCAGGGCAGTACCAGATTTCCAGGGCACCCGAAGGCATTAGAATGTTTCCAGAGGTTCAGGCAGGCCTAGGACACGCTTGTTCCTTGGCTGGTGGCAATGGCAACTTCCGGGCTCTGAGCCGATACAAAATTCTGAGAGGCGCGTGCTTGTCTGTCCTTTCCAGAACAGTAGGGCAGCGCCCGGGACCTTGAGGAGACTCAGAAGAAAATTTTGTGACGGGTCTTCCTGGGTCATCGATGACAGAACAAGAGGTTGCTGGCACCTTGAGGGGACTTGTACAGTTTTAGGGGCTCAGCCGCTCAAGAGTTGTCCCCCCATACCCTCGCTGCCTACACAAGAGTCTCAGGAATGCCCCGGATGGCATTCCTGACTCGTCCTTGCCTGCAGGAGCAGATCCTGGGCCCCCGAGTTAACTCACAGAATTCTGCGGTGACTCTGATGTGCCAAGAAGACCCTCACCTGGGCTTACAGGCCGGCAAACGTGGCTACTGGGTCCTCGAGGGTTTTGCTACGTTTTTCCATCTTTAGGAAACCAAGCAGCCTTTACAAACAGTGAGCCTCTATTCAGTGTTGCAGAACTACCGCAAACGTGAGCCAATGCTAGGGTGCTAATTACAGAAATTAATGATGAACAACCATCAGAACTATCATGGTAATCAACAAAATAACAGAAATACTAGTGATTTTAGTAATTACAGTATTAAACTAAGGAGATGGAGCTTATAGTACATACTCCTCTGAGGGAAGGACAAGGCTCTGATGTGGGAGCGCTGGATCAGAGTCCCAGGACTGCACCGTGTCCTGTGTGTCATGATGGCAAACGTGAGCCGCAGGAGGAAAAGGGTGGCTCTCCGGGGGCCACGGGGAGCACAGAGCCTCCTGCATGGACCTCTGAAGGAGAATATTGAGGGGAGGTTGAAGGACTCTGGTCCTGCCTGCCACAGGACACTCCGCAGCTTTCCGTAACTGGGCCAATGGCCGGTTGGGCACGGCTCCCCCCACCCCGGCAGGAAGGCAGGGCTCCCCCCATCCCCCCCGCAGGAAGGCAGGGCTCCCCCCCACCCCCCGGCAGGAAGGCAGGGCTCCCCCCCACCCCCCGGCAGGAAGGCAGGGCTCCCCCCCACCCCCCGGCAGGAAGGCAGGGCTCCCCCCATCCCCCCCGCAGGAAGGCAGGGCTCCCCCCCACCCCCCGGCAGGAAGGCAGGGCTCCCCCCCACCCCCCGGCAGGAAGGCAGGGCTCCCCCCATCCCCCCCGCAGGAAGGCAGGGCTCCCCCCCACCCCCCGGCAGGAAGGCAGGGCTCCCCCCCACCCCCCGGCAGGAAGGCAGGGCTCCCCCCATCCCCCCCGCAGGAAGGCAGGGCTCCCCCCCACCCCCCGGCAGGAAGGCAGGGCTCCCCCCCACCCCCCGGCAGGAAGGCAGGGCTCCCCCCATCCCCCCCGCAGGAAGGCAGGGCTCCCCCCCACCCCCCGGCAGGAAGGCAGGGCTCCCCCCATCCCCCGGCAGGAAGGCAGGGCTCCCCCCATCCCCCCCGCAGGAAGGCAGGGCTCCCCCCACCCCCCGGCAGGAAGGCAGGGCTCCCCCCATCCCCCGGCAGGAAGGCAGGGCTCCCCCCACCCCCCGGCAGGAAGGCAGGGCTTCCCCCATCCCCCCCGCAGGAAGGCAGGGCTCCCCCCATCCCCCGGCAGGAAGGCAGGGCTCCCCCCACCCCCCGGCAGGAAGGCAGGGCTTCCCCCCACACCCCGCCCGCAGGAAGGCAGGGCTCCGGAGCCACAGCTGTCCCCCACTGCACACAGAAGCACTGTCTTCACGGAACTTTAAGACCCAGCACTACCTCAGCCCTTTCTGCCTGCTTGCCCTCCTGCCGGCCGCTCTTCCCAGGCCCCTCCTGGTCAGGACTTAGAGGTGCCCTCTCTCCGCCTGGGTCTGTCTGTCCGAGGTGCGATCTTCTTGTCCCCTGGCCAGCAGGGGGGGTGACACGGGCTGGCAGCTGTGGTTCCTCCAGGTCCTGGGAAAATTTAGACAATCCTGCCGTTGCTCTGGGGGCCCGTCGCCCTCCCCAGCGCCTTCCAGAACAGCTCCCGCCTTCGCTGTACACTTGGGGAAGCAGCCCATCCGCAGAACCTCCGGCATCCCAGGACGCCCTCCCCGCGCTGCCTCTGTCGGCAACGGCCGCTTCCGGAGCGAACACTGACCTAGAACATTTTGAGGAAGCTCTGGTGGGCCTGGGACACCCTCCCCTGCCATTCCAAGTAGGAACCAGTGGTCCTGGCGTCCCTGAGGTGATTTAGAAAAGTCCCCCCAAGTCTCGGGAGGGTCCCAGATGCTGTTTACACCGTCCATGCAATCAGGAGTGGCTCCTCGGCCCCAGAGGTCACTTAGAAAGCTTTGTACTGGTTCTGACAGGGTGGAGATGCCCTGCTTTCACCTGTAGACCAAACACGTGGTTGCTGGGCCTTCGAGGGTGCTTACAAATGTTCACCGAGGTGGAGGCTGGACAGGGATGCTTTCTTTGGGTCTCCCTGCCAGCAGAAGCTAGCCCCTATCTCCAGAGGGACTTAAACCTTTCAGGAAGCTTATCAGTTTCAGTTTTGTTAGAGGAAATACGTTCCAGGTCAACTTGGGGGCCCAGGAAATGCTCTTGGCCAGAATGCTGGAGAGAGTTTCCCACCCACGTGAGCCCTCACAGAATTTTCTACCCTCAGGACCCCAGGACCCGTATTTCTGAAATAGATGCACAAGGATGGCTTTATAAAGCCTGCCCAAGCCTCTGGAAATGTTCTGTGCTTCCCTGGGTGTCACAGAGATGCCGGTGCTGGGCTGGAAAGCAAGGAGATTGGGATCTGCCAACCCTGGCTTACTGGGTCTGCAGGACAAGCTTTCCAGATGGCTCACTCACAAGAGGCCTTAGTTCTTCACCATGCAGACATCTCTATAGTCTTGTTTGAGTGTCTTTGTCAAATGTAAGCTGGTTTTACCCAGAGTGAGGGTTCCAGTAACTCAGGCCTGAAGCTATAACCTCTCTTACGACCTGTCAGAACTTACACTCGTCGTCCCTGCAGTATCTTACCGTTTACACACGCCGCTCCCTCAGTGTGGAAGGAAACTGGACAAGGGTACGAATACTAGGCAGGGAGTTCAGGAAGAGCCATTTTGGAGGCTGGCTTCCAGTTAAACTTCAGTGACTATTTCAGATCTTAGCAAATGTTGTTGCCATTTACTTAGGCACTCCAATGAAAACACTAGATAACTCATATATGCCCACTTTCTCCACATACGTCACTATGGGGTTAGAATTTCTTGACTGTTTTCCCTCCCCTCTATACACTCACACTGTTTTAGTTTGGAGTCTCATCTAGCCTCTATCACTGCAACAGCCTTCTTCCAAATAGACTGCCCTGGCAATTTAGTAAATCCCCCAGGCCAATTCCCGAGTTCTGTTATAAAACTGGCATTTCGTTTTGCACAGATTAAGATGGTGCTTTATCCTTCCATGCTCCACACACACGTGCACACACATGAGGCTGTCAGTCACAAAAGCCAAACCTGAGACTTCTACTAAGACAAAAGAACATAGGATTCTCCAGTATTCGAACTAGAAAGAATCTGAGAGATGATTTAAGTTGGTATCTTCCAGTGAGTATTCCAGAATAAGTTTCAGAATAATTACTGGGGCAACTGGTTAAAGCAGACTTGTAGCCTTCACTCCACCTGACCAAACTGAAAATGTTGGGAGTGGGTCTAAGTGTCCGCATGAGAAAGCCACTCTCCCTGTTAGTTTCATGCACAATAGTGATTAAGAGCCCCCTGGTCTGGCTTCGACAGACCTACATCTCTGTAGGTGCTGTTGACATCCAAGGAAGACAGTCTTCCTCCCAAGGTCCATACCTCTAGTCAATGGCAGGTCTGGAGATTCAGCACCTAAATCCAGACCTTGTGCCTCCACGTTCAGTGACATTTCACTGCCCTGCCTTGTTCCACCCAAGGAGGAGGGTTTGAAAGTAAAGGACCACGTGATTCCTGCTTCGAGGACCAAAGCATGGTCCCAGCAAGGAAGAAGCCCACACCTTCGTGGGGGAGGTAAGGGTGTGTTGGGCAAACGACACACGGTGTGCCGGGAGCGGAGCCCTGAGGGCATTCAGACTAGGAGTGAACATGGGGATTCCTCATTAGCAAAGCCTGGGAAGTATTCACTAACAAAACGTCTGGTCACTAACTAACCGGACTGGTTTCTCATTGTAACTGAGGACAGACAGCGCTGTTTGTGCCCTTTGATGTGCTGCCCAAGGGTTCGTAGCGTTCGTTCCCATTTGGCAAGCTTTTCTAGTCAACACTGGGCACCCACCTCCTCCTCATGAACTGAGGGTCAGACAGAACGAGGATTCTCAGTTTTCTCACGAAGGCCACTGTGTGCACAGCACCCCGCTGTCCACGAGTGTCGCTCATGAGGTGTGGAAGGGCGCCTGTCACCCAGACAGACGTTCTGCCGCAGCCCCGGACAGCCACAGACGGAAGTGTCCTCTGCCTGTTGGAAATGAAGCCAGGCTTTCTCCTCTCAGCAGCCAGGAGGCCTGTGGCCCTCCTCTTTACCATTCTCTTCTTTATGAGCCAAGCTCTACCAGGTAACAAAAGACACTTTGCTGAAGCCTTGCTAAGAGTCCAGTGCCTGAGGCCATACAGGCCGCCAGTATTAGGAGCAAAGTCGCCGCTACCTGCGCCCGGAGCAGGGGGCTCCGAGGAAATCTGGAGGCGCTGGGGGCTGCCACCCGCAGCTAGCTGGCTCATGGTTCCCCCCAGCAACTCTCAGTTAGATGAGGCGAAGCCAGGGCTGTTTGCTCCATCCCTGAGGGTGGATTTAATTAGGCAAGTTTCCCTGTGGTTTCTAGATCTAGATAACCAAAAAAAAAAAAAAAAAAAAAAGGAGGGGGGCATTCTTCTAGTAAATCTTAGTTTCCAAGTCCTCCACTTACTTGCAGCAAAAATTAGTAACCCTAAGAGCCACGCCAAAGCTGTGGGGGCCCCGGCAGAGGGACGGGCAAAGGCATCTCCTTGAAAGGCTTTCTCCAGTCTAAGACATAACCAACCCTTTACTCCTTCGTACTGTTGGTCTCCTGCACTTGACTCTGTCTCTTGAGGCTCCATCCCAACGCCTGGTTTTTCTTCCTCCTTTTCAACATCTAGTCTTCTACAGTAGAACTTAAACACGGGCATTAGAAATAACATGGCAGTGGATGTGTCCTTCATTCAGCCTGCAAACATGGGTCAGACCGGTATCAGGTGGCTGGCACAGATGTGTAACTGGGTGGCGCACTCCTCACTTTCACCTAAGGAAGGGACAAGACACCCAGGATCATTCAGTTTCCTAGAACTCGAGACATGTAGATCCAAGGAGGAAGAAGCAACCTCCTGCTCTACATCAAGTGGAATGTCTTCTTCTCTCTGTTCCTGAGAATTCAGGACCTCATGGATGAGGAAGGGACAGGAAAACAGGCATAGATGTATGGAGGTGGGACCGTCCTCCTATAGTTGAAGGAACTGTTGATGGCTGTGCTTTATGTTGTTTGCAAAAGGATGCTCCCCACAATTTCCACCAGAAAATATAATGGGAGGCATGCCTATTCTTGGTGAATCCCAACTTTTCTAGCTGGATCTTAAAGGATTGCTTACTGCTAATCGGGTAGGTCGTCCATCAGGTTTGTGCGGAGGGTGCAGCTTATAAGGTGGTTGCAACTTGGTTTCAGGGGAGCTAATCTGGAGGAAGTGGGGTGGGGGGAGAGTTTCTGGTGTGGAGAGTCTGGGGGTGAGAAACCAGTTTGGGCGATCAGATATTTGTTAGGCACCCACAGTAGGGGATGCCCCTTCTAGGAAGCAGGCATACAAAGGAAGCTATGATGGTCCCGGACTCCCAAGAAGTTTGGTTGCTGTATTGCCCAGGGGAGAGTCACCAAGTCCCAAAAGACAGCCCTGGCACAGATGGAGAGATTTCCTAAATGAGGAATAGACATCACCAAAAGAAAGACTAAAGCCCAAAGCAACACAAGGTTTGAAGCTTCAGGCCCTAAGCCTTGGAAAGTCTGACCGGAGGAGCTTTGCAGGGAAAATCATGGAAGCAGTTCAGTACTGAGAGTGTTTGAGGCTGTCTGTCCAAGGCTTTCATCTGAATCTTTCCTTTAGGAATATTGTGCGTGTGTGTATGTGTGGGAAGCATACCCACGAACCCACACTCACAAGAGTTTTGGGCTGAACAACAGTCTGGAACTATGCCCCTGGGGCTGGGACTAAGCTACCCCATCCCTCTGTGAAGAGTTAATATGTAAGAGCCTCACGGAATGCATTAGGAATTAACTTGAAAATGCTTTCTCTTGTTTAAAGGGAAGCATAAATATATTTTTAAAAGATTTTATTTATTTATTTATTTATTTGACAGAGAGAGTCACAGCGAGAGCAGGAACACAAGCAGGGGGAGTGGGAGAGGGAGAAGCAGGCTTCCCGCCGAGCAGGGAGCCCGATGTGGGGCTCGATCCCAGGACCCTGGGACCATGACCTGAGCCGAAGGCAGACGCTTAACGACTGAGCCACCCAGGCGCCCGGGAAGCATAAATATTTTTTTAAACAAACACGAAAGTATTTTTTTTAAGCAAAACAAAAGAACAGTTATCCTTGTTACAATGAGCACCGAAGCTGTGATAGGTACAGATACTATAAAATCATTCACTGTCGTTGATAAGATTCAAAAAGGTCTTGATGATCTAGTCTATTTCTCATGTTTTAGAGAGGAAAAATCAAGGCCCTGAAAAGCGAGTCCTTCCCCCCACACTGAAGGAATGAGCTCCCTGTCCCTCAGGGCGTGGTCCTCACCTCCCCAGCTAGGGGTCCATTGTGCTGCTTCCTTTCTCTGACTCTAGAGAGGGTGAAAGGTGATGCCGTATCCAATGACATTAACTCAGGAGCACACAAAGCTGGTGACTTCAGCTTAAAAGGTAAGTGTCCACGTGGCTTTGCTAAAGACCGTCTGATAAGTACATACTAAGCGGTCAGCCTCACTAACCGTATGGGGTGGATGGAAGAAAGTCCCTATCTCTAGGAAATGAATGCTTTTCACCAAGTCTTAAAACTTTGAAACAAGTCTTCCAAACGTTGAAAATGAATTCATTTTTACTTTGTTTTGTTTCCACTGTCACTGAACCCAAATAAGGGAAAGTAGTATGATGGTTAGAAAAGCAGAGGCAAAAACATTTCTGATACCTGTGCCGGGATGAGGAACTTCAGGACACATCTGCGTAGGGAGTGGGTTCCAGGATGGGCAGTAGCTCTGATTAATGACTTCTCAGTCACTGACTGAATACCTGTTATATGCCAAGCCTTCAGCCAGGTTCTGGTATGGATGGCGGGGGGGGGGGGGGGAAATAGGCTGTGATTCCTGTGCCCAAAGAACGCCTCCTCAAAAAGTGAGGTCGAACAGGAAACCACACCAACAGAGAATGGAAGAAGTCCAGGAATAACGGGGTGTTCCAGACTGATTAGTCAGATTGCAGCTCGTTTCTACATAATGCTCAGCCTTAGTATGATCATCGATTTAAAACAGAAAACTAGGGGCGCCTGGGTGGCTCAGTCGTTAAGCGTCTGCCTTCGGCTCAGGTCGTGATCCCAGGGTGCTGGGATGGAGCCCTGCATCGGGCTCCCTGCTCAGCGGGAAGCCTGCTTCTCCCTCTCCCACTCCCCCTGCTTGTGTTCCCTCTCTAGCTGTCTCTCGCTCTGTCAAATAAATAAATAAAATCTTTAAAAAAATAAAATAAAATAAAACAGAAAACTAGGTACCTGGGTGGCTGAGTCAGTTAAGCGTCTGACTCTTGATTTCAGTTCGTGTCATGATCCCAGGATCATGGGATCGAGCCCCATGTTGGGGCTCAGCATAGAGTCTACTAGAGATTTTCTCTCTCCCTCTAGCCCTGCCCCTCCCGCCACTCACGTGCACACTCACACATGATCTCTAAATAAATAAATAAATAAATAAATAAATAAATAAATAAATAAATAAATAAAATCTTTAAAAACCCCCAGGGGAAAAAAAATACCCTTAAAATTACTTCTCAGTTCACATTTTCAGTAAAAATCTGAGGTTGATCTTCACATCCATTAACTAACTGCCTTGTGAATACTGAAGAGTTAAATTCAACTGAATGCATTTGAACTTCAGTTCGATTCATTTGATAGGCATTTACTGAATGTATATAAAGGCCCTTTACCGATCTGAAGCTCTCCAAGGATTGGCCTTTGTGTTTCAGAAGACAAACGCCTAGAAGGGCCCGTGTGGGTACCTCTCTTAATATCAGCAAAGAGCTTAAGAAGTTGTCACGGGAAAGGTGCACTTTGTTACATATGGAGATGACTCAAAAGTGCCCCCCTTTTGAACCTGAGCACCTCACCGTGTGTGGCTCACCCCACAACAGTAAGAGAACACAGGTCAAACACTTACCCAATGTTTGTAACAACTGTATTTGTTCAGCCCTTGCGAAGAAGCATTAATGCAGCGCTTTCCAGAGCAGGCTTGCAAACTCCGAGGCCAGTTTCAGAGAGACAAGGGCTGACAGGACAGGGACTCTATCTACGTACGAGATATGTGGGGATGTTGTTCCCTTCCCCAGGGAAAACAGCCTCACTAACAATCTCCCTGAAGTGTCTTCTCTTTTTAGATCTCTCTTTTAGTTGCACTTTTGAAAGATACACACCAACACAGAGATTTCTCTAACAAGTTTCTTCTGCTTTAGGAAAATCAGCAGCACAAGATACTACATAAGCTGATCCCTGCCATCAGCGAGATAGGAGATAAGGAGGAGGAAAACTGGCCTCAGCAGACGCCCCATAGACCTTCCGCAGAGGCAGGGTCATCCAGGTCTAGGCTTTCGGTGCTCAGATGCACCCGATATTGCCTGATTTCCAAGAATGCCCAAGATCCAAACTTTGAGTGAAAGCAGATTTTTTAAGCACTGGTTTAAGAAATTAAATAGCAACAACAACAACAACAACAATTCGCCCAAGATTGTTTCCAAACGCTCCTCGTACCGAGTAATCCAATAAAAATCCAGGGAGACATAAATAGTTATAATAACCCTCTTTTCTATGCAGCCAGGGGCAGATTCAAGGAGGTCTGTGAGCGTCCAAATGGCGACTGCCAGGAATTTTGCCTTGAATCAGAACGCCAGGCTGGGATATGTTTAAATGGTCAATCCTGCTGCCTGCCCATGGGGAATGAGCCCATCATCGAGCCTACTACACCCAAGGAATGATGAAGTCTTTTTGAAGCTTTGTGTTTCTGTGGATGTTTTATCCTCTATTTTGTGCGCTCTCGCTCGGCCTCTTTTTCTGTCTTCTCACAGGGATTCTTATTGGGTCCTGAATAAATAATAAAGCAAAACTAGCAAACACAAGACCTGTTTGGTTCCCATCTTTCTATTGGGTCTGGATGAGCTTCCCCAACCCTTCATCTGAGGATGCTGCTCCCCTTTCCTCTGGGAAAATGTGCTACCTCATACCATGCAGACTTGTGGGGTCTCCCTCCCTGACAAAGGGGCAACATACAGGAAACTTGCACAATCAGATTTACCCACATCAGTCAGACTTCACCAGAAATCCGAATCATGGACAGAGCAAGACCCACCCAGATACAAGACAATCCTTCTACATTCTTTTTTTTTTTTTTAATATTTTATTTATTTATTTGACAGAGAAAGACACAGCGAGAGAGGGAACACAAACGGGGAGTGGGAGAGGGAGAAGCAGACTCCCTGCTGAGCAGGGAGCCCGATGCGGGACTCGATCCCGGGACTCCAGGATCATGACCTGAGCCGAAGGCAGTCGCTTAACCAACTGAGCCACCCAGGCGCCCAATCCTTCTACATTCTTTCCCAAGGTAGCACTCCAGCCTGTCCTTGTATTCCTGGCTGAGATCCATGGAATTTCTCAAATTCCCACCTTTCACTGGGCGCGGTCATTCGGCTTCTCTTTCCATCCTGTAAAGAACTGCATTGCTTCCTAGGCCTGCCCTACCAAATTACCACAGATTTAGTGGCCTACAATTCATTATCTGACAATTCTGTAGGTCAGAATTTAGCCAAAGAGCCAATGACATGGATCTCAATGGGTTAAAATCAAGGTGTCCGCAGGGCTGAATTCCCTTCTGGAAGCTCTATGGTTCCCTCTCCCCATGGATAGGACGGCAGTGTGGGCAGCGCCTGGGCAGCTTGGGTAACCGTGCTTCGCCCATCTGTCAAGCCAGCAACAGGCTTGGTCCTTCTCACATCCTAACACTCAAAAGCTACCTTCTGCCTCCCTTTTCCTTTTTTTTTTTTAGGAGCCTTGTCATTACATTGGGCCCAGCTGGATAATTCAAGGTAGTGTCCCTATTTTAAGATCAGCTGATTAGCATCCTCAACCTCACCTTCCACCTCAATCTCCTTTGCCATGTGAGGTGACATATTCACAGGTTCCAGGGATGGATGGATGAAGAAAATGGGATATATGTATACACACACACACGAATATCACTCAGTCACAAAAGTAAGGGAATTCTGCCATTTATGACAATATGGATGGATCTTGATGGCATTACACTAAATGAAGTAAGTCAGAAAGAACAAGACAAATACCGTCTGATTTCACTGATATATGGAACCCAAAGAAAAAAAGAAAAAAAAAAAAAACAAAAACACCTGAACTCATTGATATAGAGAAAGATTGGCAGTTGCCAGAGGCAAGGGTGGGGGATGCATGGTGAAACGGGTGAAGGGGGTCAAAAGGTACAAACTTCCAGTTATGAAATAAATAAGCCCTTAGGATGTAATGTACGGCACCATGACTCTAGTTAATAATACTGTATATTTGAGTAAATCTTAAAAGTTCTCATCACAAAGAAACAAAATTTGTAACTGTGTGTGGTAATGGATGTTACTGAGACTTACGGAGGCTATCACTTCACAATATATACATATATTGAATCATTATGTTGTACACCTGAAACGAATATAATGTTATGTGTCAATTACATCTCAATAAAAAAAATTTTTTTCAGTTTTCAGTAACACAAGAGGACACTCAACATATAAAAGATCCGAATAATACTACAACTAACTTAATCTAATTAATATTATTTAAAAACTTCACACAACCACAGCAGAAAAAAACATTCTTTTTAAGTGTGTACTTACCAATGTAAACCACAAAACAAGGCTTGATAAACAAAATAATCCAAATCATACAGTGTATGTCCTTTGACCCTAATAGAAGTAAAGTAGAAACTAATATTCAGTATTTGGAAAATTCTCATATATTTGGAAATTAAACAATACACTCTGAATAAAAGTGAGTAAGCATTTTGAATCGAATAAAAAAGAGAGGGACGCCTGGGTGGCTCAGTCATTAAGCGTCTGCCCTTGGCTTAGGTCATGGTCCCAGGGTCCTGCTCAGCGGGAGGCCTGCTTCTCCCTCTCCCACTCCCCCTGCTTGTGTTCCCTCTCTCGCTGTGTCTCTCTCTGTCAAATAAATAAATAAAATCTTTAAAAAAAAAAAAAAGACAACACATCATATCAGAATGTGTGGAATAAAGCCAAATTATCATTCTGTAATAAATTTATAGTATCTATATGCTAATATTGTCAAAGAAGAGCAAATTAAATCTAAAACAAGAGAGGCAGGAGATTGGGGCACCTGGGGCTCAGTTGCTTAAGCATCTGCCTTCAGCTCAGGTCATGATCTCAGGGTCCTGGGATTGAGCCCCACATCAGGCTCCCTGCTCAGTGGGGAGCCTGCTTCTTTCTCTCTCTCTAACCCCTACTTGTGTTCTCTCATGCTCTCTCTCTCATGCTCTATCTCAAATAAATAAAATCTTAAAAAAAAGAAAGGCAGGAGATTAATAAAGATAATAAGAGACATTAATTAATCAGAAAATCAATAGGGGGGAAAGATGAAATCAAAAGTTGGTTCTTAGGGAAAATGAATAAAATGCACAAACCCCTTACAGGTTGATTTGAGAGGGAGAGAGAGAGGAAGGAAGGAAGGAGGGAAGGAAGGAAGGAGGGAAGGAAGGAAGGAAGGAAGGAAGGAAGGAAGGAAGGAAGGAAGGAAGGAAGGAAGGAAGGAAGGAAGGAAGGAAGGATTGTACACTAAATTTTAATGAATAAAATTTCACTATAAGGTATATCTCAATAATTCTGACTTGAAACAAATGTTATCTCTGTTCCTGTCTTAGGGTTTTGCTGCTTCCTTTATCTAACTTCTAATAACTGTGTCTCCTTTTTATTAAGCAGGAGTGACATTTATAAGAATCTGCTGTATTTCTCCACCAGAACATGGCCTTCCTGAGTAACCATAGCTTCCGCCCCCATAACTTCCCTGTACCTTTGAGGCCTGGCACAATGACAGGGGCAGATAAAAACCTGGAGGAGGTCCGGTCATGCAGAAAACCTACCTCATCCTCTCTCACAGTCACTGTGAGAAAGCACTGTGTACTGATCCTGGGCAGCAGAAACAGAATCCTGTCTGACCCTGCTCCAGATACATTCATAGAACTTTAATTTCTTCCTGGGTTCATTCAAAGTCAGCAACAACCTCATAATCCTAGAGTCAAACCTAAGCCCTAAGAATTGGTCCAAATAGCCAGAGAAAAAACAAACCTTGCGTGAGCATTTAGATGCCATAAACCAGAGTTCTCTATTTTTTTTTAAGATTTTATTTATTTATTTGAGTGAGAGAGAGCAGGAGAGCAGGGTGAGGGGCAGAGGAAGAAGCAGGCTCCCCGCTGAGCAGGGAGCCTGATGCGAGGCTCCTTCTCAGGACCCCCGGATCATGACCTGAGAGGAAGGCAGACGCTTAACCGACTGAGCCACCCAGGCGCCCCATAAACCAGAGTTCTTAGCAGGAGAAGGTTTTGCCTCTGGCACATACCTGGCAATGTCTTTAGTTCTGACCACTCGAAAGGTGCTACTCCCATCTAATGGCTAGGGCCAGGGATGATACTAAACACCCTACAGTGGACAGGAATGACCTTGAAGACAGAGAATTATCTGTCGCCAAATGTCCACAGTGCTGTGGTTAAAAAACTGCTCTAGGCTTTGACACAGTAAGAACCAGAAGTGGGTAAATATCTTTCCTCAAGAGCAAGTTGCAGCCTCCCTAGGAGAGCCCAGATCACCTGTGAATAGGTATGAGGCATTCCCCCACTCCCACACCTATTCTCCTCAATGCTGTGTCTTTAATTCATGGACATGCAACGCATGAAAGTAAGTTTTGGACACTCGGAATAATTATTAACATTTTTTATTCTTACATACTGTTTCTCTCTTGTTTTTGCTTCTCTGTCTTTTCCTATGCCTGACAAATTCCTGGCCCAATTAAAATCAGGTCTGATTCTCCAAACGAATCTGACGAATTCATTCCCAGTTCCATACTTAGTCTTTGTATATTGCCATGGAACTTTGTTTCCCTAAAAGTCTTAAAATCCGTCAAAGAAATTATAAACGGATTTACAACAATCGCATAAAGCATCTGCAAGTCACGGATAATTATGACTATTCACGATGTAGACCATTGTGGCCACGGTGGCATCCCTGTTCCCCATGCCACTCTGTTCCTGTGTCTCTCTTCTGCGGGTGACGCTGGGTGGGACGGGGACTGGGCAAACCACACTTCCCAGACTCCTTCGCTGACCTGCTTCCAGTTAGGTCACAACAAACCTTAGGCGCTGGAATTTGGAGTTTGGAGAAGAGGGGAAGGGGCTTCCTTCCTCACTTTTGCTCCTGTCACCACTGCCACAGCGAGCCGTGGCATCCCCCTTCCTAGGGCACTGCTAGAACCAATGTCCTCATGCCCTCATAGAGACACCGGCGACTAGGTCCTGCCCCTCTTGCTTAGGTCTGAGGATTGACACTGGAAAAAAAAAAATCTCTCCTCAGAGCTGCAGGGGTACCAACACCAGCTGGGCAGCATGCCCCTCCTCAGAGGCTGAGAACCAGGGGACACCCTCTGTAGGCTCCTGGTCTCTTCCATTTCAATGTCCCCCTGCGGGTTGGCACCTGCTGCCTGCAATTATCTCTGGGTAACCTCAGCACTCCGTTGAGCCCTTCATTACCTGTGTAACAAAACGGGTTTTAAATTTGTCCAAACTACTAGTACATCCTGGTCAACTGAGTCCTGGCTGATTTAACCCCTACCGTCATGGCTACTACTCTATCATCCTATAAATCTGGAAGCCAGACAGGTCTAGTTACCTAACGGATAAAGCAACAAAGCCTAA